TTAAGTATTTAAATTTTGAAGGAAACATCTATGATGAATATAAAGAATCCTTATTAATAGAACGAATTTGCAAAAACACATCTATTGCCTCATTAAAATTATCGGGTTGTCATCTTAAAAATGAATCATTCGTTAATATTTTCAACAAAAGCATCACTCTGACTTCATTAAGCCTTATTAACAATCAACTTGGTCCTGAGGGAGCTAAAACGCTAGCAAGGACTCTCTATGCAAACAATACAACTTTAACTTCTCTAAATCTTTTTAGAAACCAGCTTGATTCTGAAGGAGGAAAAATTTTAGCAAAATTTCTCTGCAGAAATACCACTATTACTTCATTAAATCTTGGTTTTAATAAGCTCGGTTATGAGGGCGGAAAAGCATTAGCAGAACCCCTTTACGTAAATACTACTTTAACTTCTCTAGATCTTCCCTGTAATGAACTTGGTTCCGAAGGTGTGAAAGCGTTGGCAATAGTTCTATGCAAAAATTCAACTTTGACTTCTTTGAATCTTGCAGCAAACCAACTTGGCATTGATTTTGAGTGTATGAAAGCGTTAGCGGAAGCTCTTTGTAAGAATTCTACTCTAACTTCTTTAAATATTTACGGTAATGGACTGGGGTTTAAGGGTGTGAAAGCGTTAGTGGAACCTCTATGCATGAATATAGCTTTGACTTCATTGAACCTCGGCTATAATCAACTTGATTCTGAAGCTGGAAAAATATTAGCGGAAGTCCTTTGTACAAAAGATGAAACCCGGATTTGAAACCTCTAGTGCTATCACTAAAAAAAAAAAGAAAATCAATGTTAATATTGAAACCTTAATATATGTTTCCCATTAAATAAAATATAAAATTAATCCATAAATAATCCTAGAAATTTATGTATTTAACATAAAAAAATAAATTATTATCAAGGATCTTTATTTATATTTAATGCTGGAAATGTTTACCTGCTTGTATGCTTAGTTTTAAAAAGCCAACACACGCCTGCCATTTAGTAATACAATATTTTCACCTTTTGCTAGCTTCGTGACTTTTCATCAGTTTCATCACCTTTTGCCATTTCGTCATTTGAGATTTAAGTTGACAAAAGATGAAACTAGGTTTCACAGTTTCATCAGTGCGAAACTTTGAAGTTTTGTCTAACAACTATAATTGAAACCAACTGTGTTGAATTTGATGTCATGAAACTCAAAAATGTAACAAAGACTATGATTCAAACATCAAGACATTGTGGCTGAATTTGAAGGATAAGCACCAAAGCCACGGTAACGAAGAGTCATCCATGGAAAAAGAGAAGAACTAAGCCCACCAAGATCTCAAAAAAGAAGATTCGTGATTGAACTTGGCTCAGATTTGGGGCAAAGTTAAAAGAAGTAAACAAACAATTGTAAGCCTAAGAAGAAAACGATTGTTTGCACGATAATGGTGCAATACTGTATGGCATGATACTACACATGTGGGTAAATAAATATAGGTTTAAGTATATATACGTATAAAATTCTTCCAAAATTTAAATAACCAAATTGCACTTAACTGTATATTGGTTAATACTTTCTGTTAAATATCAAAAACTTTCACTCTTACTATTTTCCAGATAATAGCAGTGTTAACATTGAGGTATTAAAATAAATTTCATTAATATATAGTACAATAAATGAGTTTTTTACCTGATAATTCTTTCTGATTACTCAATTAAAAATTAATTTAATATATATAGTGTATTGTGCTTCTTTAATATCTTACATAAAACCACAATCTGTACTAGTATTGATGTAAGCTATTTAAATTTAAAATTAAAATTGGCTAATTATCTAAGATGGCAGATATTCATATCCCCGATTTTGTTATTCATACCTCCTTTGTAAACTAATTTTTTTTTGACTTTTCAAACTTTAAACAAAGATATCTCAACAACCACAAAGCCAAATTCGATTAACTTTTTTTTATTTGGATTCATAAAGTTTGTAGAATTTGAATAAAAAATTTACTGAATTTGGCTTAGTGGTTATCGAGAATTCTTTGCTCAAAGTTTGAGAAAGTTTTGACATAGCTTTATCTTAATAGATGTTTTGAGGTTTTTAAAACTTTGAGTGAAGATATCTCATCAACCACCTAGTCTAATTTGATGAGCTTTTTTTTATTTAAATTCTACGGATTCACAAATTCAATGAGCTTTTTTTTATTTGCATTCTACAAATTCGCAAAATTCAAATAAAAAAATTTCATCAAATTTGACCTGATGGTTGATGAGATGTCTTCGCTCAAAATTTGAGAAAAATTTTGGTGCAATTTATTTTGATAGATGTTTTAAGATGTTATAGGAGAGCTTATGGATCTTGAACCAATTTGGCTTCAATTATAAATAAATAGTGATTAATATTAAAGAGTTTAAATTAATAAACTAACATCTTATATTCATGATTTCTTCGGAGCGAGTACAAGAGAACTAGGGTTGTTAATGGAGTGGCATACTCCGGAGCAGCTCCGGAGTGATCCCAAACCAACTTGGAGTGAGATAAAAATATACTGGAGTGAAACTGGAGTAAACCGGAGTAGCTTTAAGCAAAACTGGAGTGGCTCCAGAGTGAGCCCAAACCAAGTTGGAGTAAGTGAAAGAATAGCTCAACCCAACCCACTCCAACCCAACCTATTAACAACCCTAAAGAGAACTATAAAATGCCTTTGGAATTCAGACAAGATTTTTATTTATTTTTTTTTCTAGATTATTCAATATCTTTATATTTATTTTTTTTTCACGATCTTTAAAGTTATTTTTCTTAAACAGATGCCTTACTAGATCACCAAATTCGTCTTTACTAAGTTGCATTACTATTTATTCACTATCAAGATCGCAGTATATAAATCAGTTATACTCTGGGTAGTTGGTATAAGCGAAGCTAAAAGTCCTGCTTATACATATAGTGCCAGAATATAACTATTACTTATTGTCACAATTATTTGTGACCACTAATGGGAGACCCTTCAGACTGTCATGACTATCAAAGCTTTTCCTAATGGGTCGTTCATATGCTCTTTTAAAGAGAGGATTGTTTTTTTTTTTTTTTTTTTTTTGTACTTAACATTTTGCTTATTTTATGTGTAAACGAATCAGGTTATTGTAAGCGAAAGTAGATATTCTTTTATATTTTATTTTATTTATTTTTTTTTTGTATTATGCGAAAGAGAATCTAAGTTCTTTTTCTTTATTTTTCAGTTTTCTTATATACATACTTTTGACTCTTAAATTTATTACATCATAATTTATATTTTGATATTTAACTCATCCTAATTACATAATAAATCAGTCATATAGTATTAGACTCTCATTCTAATTACACATATTTTATGCGCTTTTAATTAACTCTTAATTAATTGTTCTCATCAACACAAGTATCTCATTCAACCCCGGGTTGTCATTTACTCATGATTCGATCATTAATACACGTGATTTCAAGAGCATAGTTTAAATACATACTATTCTTGAGAATTTATTTATTTATTTATTTATTATATCTCTTATTTATTATTTTCTTTTTTTTTCTTTAATCTACCATCACTCCTCTCACCACATATTGTAGAGCCCGATTTTCATTGGAGAACCGATCACTACTGCTACACTTATTACATGTGATTTTGTTATCATTCAGAAAAATTCTTAGTGCTCTTCATTTAATTCTAACTTCTCAATTAACCAACATCATTCAATCAGCCTTCATACTGTGATTTAGAGATAGATTACGCTAATATTCTTATATTTGCTAGTTTCATGATATTAATCTCTTTACTTCTTAGATTTATTATTTTAAGCATTCACTTTATTTTGGTATTCTAGTATTTGTAAGTACCAATATGTTATTACTATTGAATATTTTATATTTATCTTTTTTTATTACTAATTTCATTTTGATAGTTATATTCAGGATTGAGTAAGTTTTGAATATCATCTAACAGAATCTCTAGGTTGCTATTATTTTACAATTTTTGAATATATCCTTTTATGTTTATCTTTAAGTTTTTATTCTTTTGTTTTTGTATCTTTTTTATTGAGCCTTCTTAAAAGCTTTATTGTTCAGAATTGCCATTATTAAAGAATCAGTGAGCTTTGTTTTCTCTTTTTTCTCATTTTTTTATGTGTATATAATATTCATTTTTATTTTAGGAAGCAGTATTTAATCTATCTTTATCTAAAAAGTATTTCTTTCTTTTATTGGATAAGGGTGGTAAAAATTATTTTATCACTTGTCACAACAGAGGCAGATATTATAATATTTAAAGGTAGGATATAACTTTTTCTATCTTTCTTTCATTTTCTATTATATTTTTAACACTTTTAAAGAAACTCTAAAGTTTGCTTATCATCAAAAGCCTCAAGAAATCTTTTATTTACTAGGTAGTTGATGAAATACTTTTGCTTAAATTTTAAAAATCTCAAAATGTCTATTAAAATAAAGCTATATTAAAACTTTGTCAAATTTGAGCAAAGATATCTCAATAATCTCTAAGTCAAATTCAGTAATGTTTTTTATTCAAATTTTACAAAACTTCTAGAATTTAAATAAAAAAGATTTATTGTATTTGGCTTGGTGATTGTAAAATATCTTTGTTTAAAGTTAAAAATTTAAAAAAATTAGTTTATAGGGCAAATACAAATAACAAAATCAGTAATATTAATATCTGTTACCTTATTTAATTAATATTATCTTAACTATATAAATAATTATTCAAAAAAAAGAGCTTTCTAACTTTATTTAAATTTTCTTTGTTTTAAAGTAAAATTCTATATCTATTTCTTTTAATAATATTATTATTAAATAAGGTATAGTATTTAAATCTAATTAAATAATTTTTTGGATATATAATACAATATTATTTTTTTTATTTATATATTTAATAAAGCATTTTAACTATTATCTAATTCAAAAATATACTTAGATATATTTAACTATATATATATATTTATTTTATATATATTTACAAGAAAAACTCATATTAATATGTCTCAAAATAAAAGTAACAAGCAAAAATCCAAAGCACTCCCACTATTATCTTCTGTTGAAAGACAGGAATCAATATGTTCTTCAACGTCAAATGAAACAAACTCTGATTATTTTGAAAACTCTGCAAGTTCTAGAGATACTGGAGATTCTGATAGTTCTAAAGGTTCTGGAGGATGTTCTTTAGCACCTGTTTGGTCTTTTTTTGAGCGAGAAAACTCTACTTCAGCTGGGTATTTTTGAGCAAAATGTTCATACTGTTCAACTAAATAGGCAAAAGGTAAATCAGCAAAACTTGAAGCTCATTTTGCATTAGAATGTGCTTATGTAGAAGATAATATATGACAATTATACTTACTTCATATAGCTAATCGTAATCAATCAGATAAAGCTGAATCTGAAATAGTGACATCATCAAAAAAACAAAAAATAAATAATAAGCAATCTAATATTTTAAAATTTTTTCCACAAGAAGCTAGCTTATCTGAAGCACGAATAAATTCTATAACTAGTTCATTGCTAAAAGCTTTTATAGTTTGTGGTATATCATTTTTTGTAATTGAGAATCCATTTTTTATTGATCTTCTTCAAAACTTGTATCCAAATTATCAATCACCATCAAGAGAAGTTTTGGCAGGTCGATTATTAGATCAAGAGCATGCTAAAATTATAGTAAAATGAGAAGCTATATTTCAAGAATTTCATAATTTGACTTTAAATATATATTTATTTAATAATCAAAGTATATTAATAATTTATTATTAAATAATTATTTATTATTTATAGCACTTGATGGATAGACATCACCTAATGAAAACTCTATTTATAGTTTTATTATTTTAACACCTGATAATAACAAATTTTTATATTCACTATATGATTTTTCTTTATATTCACATATTTCTGAATTTCTTGCAACTAAAATTGATGATGTTATTAATGAAATTGGCAATAATAAATTTGCAGCAATTGTAACTGATAATGCTAGCAATATGAAGCTTGCTTGACAAATTATTCATGAAAAATTTCTAAAAATTTTAAATTTAAGTTGTATTGCACATTGTATAAATTTAATATCAAAAGATTTTTTTAGTAAGTATATATTAAAATATAATATATATTTAACTATTTTTAATATTAATATAAATTTTATTTTAGAACATATATTTAGTTCACGTCTTATAAAAGAATACAATGAAATTATAAAATATTTTAAAAAATCACACCAGCCAAATGCATATTTACATCAAGCAATAAATGAATTAATTATTGTTGGTAGTGGATTGAAAAAATTCATTGATATAAGATGGACTTCTGCTTATGAATGTACTTTATCTGTTAATCAGCTTGAATGTGCATTTATTAAAGTAAGATATTTTATTATATTGTAATTAATATTTTTAAAATAAACTAATTTTATTTAAATAGATTTTGAATGAGAATCCAAATATTATTACAAATCGTAATATAAAACAAATTTAAAAAAAACATTTTTTTTCTCAAATCTTAAAATTTTAATTAAAGTTTTAGCACCTATTAGAGAAATAATTACAAATTTAGAAGCAAGATCAACAACTTTAGCAGATTGTTTTATACAATTTATTCAGTTAGCAGCTTCAGTTAAAAGAATTTCAGGTTTTCAAAATAATGAATTTAAAAATTATTGTATACAAGTTATTAATAAGAGATAGTGAGATTTTAATAGTGATATTTATATATTAGCATATTTTCTTCATCCAGGATATCGTAGTATGTAAAATTTAAAATTATAAATTATATTATTTAATTAAATTTTTATTTAATTAAGCAATAATAATATTTATTATTAATAATATATTTACTATACAATAATTTGTTTATAATAATAAATTAATTTATATTAATTTAATTTTTATTAGGTATTGGATTACAAGAACAACAATTTGAAACAATTGCACTAATAGCAATCAATTTATAGTTACAAGAAGGATATGATTAATATAAATATACAAAACTTGTAGCATATATGTGACAATTTAAAGAAAAACATGAAGGATTTAAATTGCCTTATTCCTTTGAAACTGATACTCCTTTATTATGGTAGTCAACTAATTTTAAAGGATCTAAATCAATTGGGCAGTTTGCAATTAAAATATTCTCAATTACTCCTCATTCTGTTGATTGAGAAAGAACTTTTTCATTATTGGGTTGGTTATATGGAAAACAATGACAAAGACTTACTCTTTCTAGAATTCAAGCTATGGCACAAGTTCGGTCTTTTTGTATCTCAAATATAAAAAAGAACTAGCTTATTTTGGTAATAATTTATCATTTAATAACTTACAAGAACAAATAAAATCTGCAATATTTTTGGTTGAAGAAAATAATAAGATAGTTGAAGATTCTGAAACAAAAGAAGAAGTTGAATATAATGATAATATTATTGAACATTTTGATATTGAAAATATTGTATTTTTAAATGATAAAATCTTTTGAGATAATGAATCAGATAAAAATTCACAAATTGATGATATTGATAAGTTCAATAAGTCTGATGATATTGAACATGATGAATTAATGACAAGTAATATAATAGGACAAGGTGTTTATAATTTTGATCCTAAAGAATTAGCAGTAAATTTAGTAAGTCAGTGGGATTATAAAAATATTAACAACAATTTAAATAATACAACAGCAAATATAGAAAATAAAAATAATGAAAATGTAGAGAATGAAGATAGTGATTTTCCTATAGCACTTCATAAAACATGTTACCAAAATTTAAAAGAATGAAAATTTTAAATAATTTTTGTTGCTTTATAATTTGATTATTGCTAATAATCTCTATATAATTACATTAGAAAACTGCATATTACCTTATATGTAAAATCATAATAAAATTAAACCTTAAAGTTAGTATCATGGTTTAAAA